AGCCAGCTGAGGTGGTTTGGGCATCTGACAAGGATGCCTCCTGGGTGAAGTGTTCCGGGCATATCCCACTGGGAGGAGGCCCCGGGGCAGACCCAGGACACGCCAGCCTGGGAACGCCTTGGTGTTTCCCCGGATAAGCTGGAGGAGGTGGCTGGGGAGAGGGAGGTCTGGGCCTCTCTGCTTAGGCTGCTGCCCCCGCGACCCGGCCTCGGATAAAGCGGATGAAGATGGATGGATGGATGGATGGACAGTTCCTCCAAAACACTAGTGTCTGAACTTAATAAATGTTCTATTACTACAACAAAGTTTCTAGTAAAAGGAAGAATATTTCTTGTTGTTATTTATTCAGCACTGCCACACATTTTTTTCTAATCTTTTTCATAATTTCTACATTCAATTAAATTTCAGTTCAATTCAGTTTTATTTATACAGCACCAAATCACAACAACAGTCACCTCGAGGTGCTTTACAATGTAAGGTAGATCAGAGAGAAACTCAACAATCATATGAACCCCTATGATGCCCTATTTGATGACAGTGGGAAGTTAAAACTGCCTTTTTACAGGAAGAAACCTCCAGCAGAATCAGGCTCAGAGAGGGGTGACCATGACTGGTTGGGCTGAGGGGAGGAAGACAAGACAAAAGACGTGCTGTGAAAGAGAGCCAGAGATTAATATTTACTAATAATTAAATGCAGAGTGTGTCTTTAGTGAATCCAAACTAGGATGTGGTTCCACAGAAGAAAGTCCTAAAACCTGAAGGCTCTGCCTCCCGTTCTAATTTTAAATATCCTAGGAACCACAAGTAAACTAGTAGTCTCAGAGCAAAGTGCGCTATTGGGGTGATACGGTACTATGAGGTCTTTAACATAAAATGGGGCCTGATTATTCAAGACCTTGTATGTGATGAAAATGATTTTAAATCTGATTTTGGATTAAATGGGACCCAATTAATAGAAGCCACTATGGGAGAAATATGCTCTCTCTTTCTAGTCCCTGTCAGTACTGTCAGTGCAGAAGTTTTAGGACAACCTGATAATAATAAATTACAATACTCCAGCCTAGAAATAATAAATGCATGAACTAGTTTTTTAGCATCATTACTGAAGTCACTTCAGAATTATCTTTAAAATCTTTCAATTAATTTGTAAAGCTCTCAGTGCTTTGGTCTCTGACTTGCACTGTAACCATGTCAGACTTCTCATATGATGCAAATCTTTTAACCGTTCAGAGAACCGTCCAGTGTGTGCACAAAATGTTTAAGAATAATGATATGTGCTGTATAAATGAAATTGCCATGACCATAGATACTAGGCTTTTAATGTTACGTCACTGTTGGCATTAGACGGAGGTGGGCACTCTGGTATTCTCCAGTTGCATAATAACAGGCAGCACTAATGTACGATTTCTGCTGGTATCCATTCTTATAGGTGCCTACCTTTTCTTTTATGTCACTGTTGGTATTAGAAGCAGGAAACCAATTTAACCAATGAGCTCTCCTGACTTACAAAGCACCAGTGTATCCCGGTGGGCACTTGCATTCTCCGGTCGCATGATGACAGGCTGCACCATTCTGGCATTGGCATTTCTGCTGGCATCCATTCCCATAGGTGCCTACTGCACACGACACCTCACAGCGCCAACCTCTGTATCCAGGAGTGCAGATACAAGCTCCAGTGATAGGGTTACACAGAGCTCCATTCTGGCACTGGCATCTGTTACTGCAGTGGGAACCCCAGTGATCATTGTCACAAGCTGAAAAGAAAGAAAGAAAAAAATCTAAATACATCTTTTTTATCTTTCATGTTTATCTTACTTGACATGTGTCACAGAACTGGACATAGATTGTCATTTCTAATTGCATACGGAGCTTTAATAGATCATTAAGTTAGAGATGCAAGAGTCTGCAAGTAAAATCTATTATAGGGAGTTAGCACCTTATTCGGCTTGCACATAAAAACTCACTCAAAACACTCATCAATATCACTGTCCAGATCTTTTTTCAGTCCCCCAGAGTGCTGAAGTCGATTTAAATATAGCTATAATTCTTATTTTTTATTACTTTTAAAGCTGTCTAGGAGTAAAATAGCAGAGAAAATAAGTGACATAAATGTTTACAATATGTGATGTGCCACCAAATACTTCCAAGATAATAATAACAATAATAACAACAACAATAATAACAATAACAACAACAACAATAATAACAATAATAACAATAATAATAACAATAATAATAATAATAACTACTCATCATTTTTCACTACAACATGCCTCAGGCTCTCTTAGGTGTGCCTTTCTCGAATGAAAAATCAATGTGCTCAGCGTTGTGTGGAGTTTCTGGGCTTTCTGAGTTTCTGAGTTTCTTTTTTTCTAATTGCTTTCCTAAATAAATAAATGCAGCGCAGCTTTATTTCTGAATTCCCCCATCTGAGTTGTAAGTGTAATCTTAAGTGTAAGTGTGTAAGTGTAATCTTTGCTCCTCCTGGAACAGAATATCCTTTTCTGGCACGTCATAGTATAGTCTTGTGCCTTTGGTTCTTCATGAATATAGCACCATCTACAGGTTTTGGGGGTTTCTATCAGGCCAAATGGTTTGTGGGTGGAATACTGGAGTTTTCTGTATATTCTGCTGTCAGGAAGATATTCATTTTTTGTTGTATACTATACACACACATCTAAATTTAAAGAAAGATAGAAAGAAATAGGTGCCATTTAAGCTACGCAAGGCTTTGCTGCATTGGTCAACACATGGAGTATTTATTAGCAGTAACTTATTCATCTTATTCATTGTCCTATATCCATGATTTGTCTATTATCATCCAATTTCCTGTGGTTGTCCTGCTAAATTGACATATAGCTGGTGTTGGTGTCAAAGTCTTTCTGTTTATTCACATTTCTTCTTCTGTTCTCAAGTTATTTGTTCCCTACCTCTTTCTCCTGGCCTCCAACATCCCTTGTGCCTTATTGCAGTGCCTGCTCTAATTCCTATCATTGTCAATTCCTATGACTGATTTAGTAAATCTTGTTCTATCTGTCCTATACATGACAGTTATTAGAAGTCTAAGAACTGTGATGTATAGAATCAAGTGGCTTAAGAGTACTGGCACCAGGATGTATACATGTAAATTACATCTGCAAAGTTAACGACTGTTAAAATGTTGCACAGTCCTCAGCCTACTGCTAAAAGGCTGATGACTTTATATTATGTGCTCAGGTCAGGATATAATGTTGCAGAGGGAAAGTCTCAACTAAAAATGAACAAAAAGACAACATATCCACCAGGGATGAAGCACCAACCCGTCAAGCTCTCATTAATTTATGTTTAAAGACTGATAATTGCCTACAAGAACTGACTACAAATCTCATCAGTCCAGTGGATGACCTTCCACACCATGTCCTCAGTGCAATCTTTTTTTGTCTTAAACACAAGCAACTGGCTAATACATTTTGGCTGTAGTTTTTTGGGCTTCAACTTTTATTCTCAAAGCCTGGTGTATCTGCTAACTAATGAAAAGCTGCTGGCTGTGAAAAATCCACAGTAAAACACACTGATTGCAGTTGCATCCTTTTACAAGCAACTTTATTTCTGCATGTATTAATATGTAGTGCAATGAAGCACCGCAAAAAATTCAGGGACTCAAAAAATCTTGTGGTTTCCAGTGCTATCGTAGCCTCCTAGTAGATGCACCTATAGTATAAAATTGAAAATCTTTGGTGTCATCTTGCTTGATTTTCAGAAAAAATAACTGAGATGACTGAGAGTCTGACTGAGAGTCAAAACTAGTCCAAAACTTTTAATAGTTGAACACAAATCTGAACATTGACATTTTAAAAAAGATAGGATGCTGTGTAAAATGTCAATAAAAAGGTAGTAATACTGCAAATACAACTTGAATTGATGGTGAGAAGGTATAGCTCTCAGTTACATTTTAAGTCAAAATAAATAATTTGTTTATTTTTTTTATTAGCAATACATTTTATTTAAGGTCGAGCTCCTTCTTTCGACTACCACAAACAGCTTGGCATTTATATGCCTAGCATGCAGAGTAATGCTGCCATTTCCAGCTACTCCACTATTCTGAAGTTGTTCAAGTGATTAAAAGGCTCCTTTTCTTCCTTCTGCATTAGTGCGCTTCACTCTGGCCTGATAAAATGTACATACTCTCTTACCTCCGGCGGTTTGGCCTTGTGTGACAAACAGCAGCGGGGCTGAAGGGGGAGGAGGAGAATAAAGATACTAACATGTACATATAAAAATCTCTTCCATTCAAGTCCACTATCACGATACCTTTTTGAAACCTGACCTAGATTGAATAAAAGCTCAACTCCAGGAGCTTAGGGCTCTTCATCTACTTCCCGGAGAACAGATTGTTCTCTTTCATCAGCCTATTCAAAACAGCCACACACACACACGCAGGAAAAATACTGTGGCACGGTTTTGTCACAACGCTGGTTGCATCACAGTCTCAAATAGGATCCTAAGGATTTTATTTTCTAAAATGTTCAACATGAGAAAGATTTGTCAAACCTCACATTGTTATCCTGAGCTCTCACTTTCTGCCACAGTAAATTCGACTGTTTTATGTATATTCACTTGAATCTGCATCAGATAAATTTTAAAAGCTTCTTCTAATCACAAACCAAGAAAGAGTATAAAAGAGTTGGGTGAGTAGAGAAAAGACTGGGAGCCAGCGACTGCCAGTTGTTCAGAGTGGGTTCACACTGGGGAGCCTGGATGTTTTTCCATCTATTTAGTGATTACCCAGCCTGCCAAAAATGGTGCACTCATGGGAACAGAAAGCACTGTCACACTAATACGAAGGATTCCCAGTGAGAAGAAACAGCTGTAGCATTCCTCCAGTTTTCCTCTCTCATCCTCCAGAGTTTTTAATTGTCACGTTATTTTGTTAAACATGTCTGTAGACAGGTAAATCAAACCAGTTATTAGACACGTTCACAATTTAAGGAAATGATCAGACAAGAGAGGGTTTTTAGGAAACACTGTTCAATGTTTGGTTTCTATGCCACATGTTAAAACAAGATCTAGAGTGTGATTAAAGTGGTGGGTTCTTTACAGGCTGTCAGTTTTAGTATCTACATGAATGTTAAAAATCACCTACAATTAATTATTTTATCTGAGCTGAGCACTAAATCAGATAAAACGTCTAAAAGGGGATGATTTGGGCTTGTTTTAGGGCCACAACACCTGGGCACTTTGCAGTCATAAAGCCAACCATGAACTATACTGTATACCAAAGTTTTCTTGAGCCAAAGTGAGGCCATTTCTCAAACAGCAACAGCAACGTTTTTTTAATGATTTCAATATTAATTAAATATTTGAATAATTTAAATAACAGTAATACTGTAATTCGTTATAAAGCATTTTGTTGGCTTTTAGGGCTCAGATCATATTATGTGTGGGTAGTATACAAAATATTTGTATTTAATAATTTCTGTCATTAGCAGACTACTGAGAGTCTTTGTTGACAACTAAGAGTTCAAAATGATCTACTGATATAAACACAAAAGAGAATATTTTTTACATAGACAGTGAAATATAGTCCATAATGTTGATGTTACTTTGATTTCACAGCTGAATTTGAGCCCCTCCTGAGGATCTTGTGTTATTATCATGTGTACTAAATCACAAGCTCCACTGCCTCAGGTCATTTCCTCCCACAAAATTTTCTCCTCCTGCTATTACTCCTAATGATAACCCACCCCTCCCCACCCATAATCTCTCTC